ACAACCACTGTTTTTTCACAAGGAAATACATTAATCTGTCTGAACTTCTTTTTATTTTGATAAATTTTAGTAATGTTTTAGTGAAAACTGCTAAATTAAATTAAATTCCTCTTTGGTATTTCACTATGCCCAGGAGCCACAACCATGATTAGTACACAAATACACATAGTAAATGACAATAAAGTCTAATTTGAAAGTGGTATAAGGAAATTATATATATATATATATATATATATATTCACCTTCCATTCCAGAATGAAACTTGGTTATCTCACAATTTATATTCACTTTAATGACATAAGAAGTACGTGACGAATATGCATTTATGTACAAGTAGGAATGATGCCATGTTGTGGTTATAACCACAATTTTAATCACTAATTCAGAGTTATGAACTGTAGCATTAATATTGTTTTATTGTTTCCCCTTAAAGGAGATCTGGAAGATCAGTGCAACTGCTTTAAAAAAAATTCCTTTAAATGTTGTATTAATATTGAGATATTTTGTGACAATGCCTCTTTGATATAATTCTTATACATCCTATTCACTTACTGTTAGTATTACCATATACTTATCATTTCTTTATAAATCACAAAGCAAGGAAAATCTATTTTATTCACAAAGTTTCATTTAAACACCCACTACAGTTTTCCTAATCCACAAGAATTCAATCACAACCTGAGGCACTCATGTTCTTGACCACTTAACCAATCAAACATAATAAAGAAGACTAAGCATTACCTGAATGTTGATTGTTGGCAGATTTACTGATTATTAGTTAAAATCTTCTAATAACTATTGCACAGTCAGGAAATACCTAACAATACTGACATGCTTTAGATTAAAATGTAACCAACTTCTGTATATTAAAATATGTTTTGTTACCTTTTCTACTGAATTCCAATCATATTTAAACAACACAATAAAATTAAAGAGCTAGCAGAAGCATGAGTACAGGGATTATCTGGTTATCACTGCCAATTGTTTAAACTTAAAATTCTGACTGTTGATAAATTATGCATCTACAGTAACACTTTGCAGAATAAGATGCTAAGAATTAGTAATTTTTATTCTTACTTAACCTTTCATAGACTATATTCTGCACAAATGTCCTTAATATTTTGGATATATAAGAAATGAATTAACTGGAATGTCACTAACATTTTTCCCTGAATTTTAGGTAGCAAACCTATTTTTTAAAATCAGCATTCTTGAATTTTAATGCCTACATCTCTGTTGCCAACACTTTTGACAATGGCAAAGTCAGTGATTTGAAACACGTAAAACAGGGTAAGGTGGTATGATATATTCCACATGTGCATTGATAGTCTCTGCTTAACTCTGTTAATACAAAATGTTGAATGTCTGATATTGTGCCACAAGATTTTTCAAACTGTACTGGCCTCAACAATATTTATCAACTTCCAAAAAAAATTTCTCCATATCTGTTGAAAGTGAAAATGTGAAAGTAAAAATATACAGAAAGAATACATGTAGCACTACATAATCAGGTACATTCCATTGAGGCATCCTACATAATCTGGAGGAAAATTTGTCATGACTCAGTATAATTATACTGTATCTGACCTGACTATTAAAGAAACATCAACACTAACCCAGCTCTCTCCTACCACTTGTCCCAACTCCTGCGATTGGACGGCTTCATTAACAAGGAGTGCATCGCAAATAACAACATACACAGCCCAATCCACATACTCACACACATACTACTGTACTCCCCAGTAATAACCAACCACTCACACACATACTACTGTACTCCCCAATAATAACATTTTAGTTCTTAATAACCAATATTTTAAATTCATACATAACCTTAGATACTTATTACAGATGTCACCAGTAATGCCCTTTGCTAATACAGTAAACATACAAACCTAACAAATTAACTCTCACATATAAAACTCAAGCATGTTCACCAATTAATATTTTAATCACTTAATAACTTGATATTCTTCAGCTTTTACAGATTAGGTCCTCTGGATTATTCTGATTTGGAATTAACTCTAAAATTATAAGTTTTTTGGACATTATGCAGGACTCCTTGGATGGGAGATTAATCTACTGTAAGTCCTCTATATACACAAGGCAAAAATATAAAGAAGATGAAATACATACATTCATGCACTGAGTGGGATTGAAACACAAAATCTAAGTTTCTAATCAGTCTAAAACCACATAATCATTAATGATCAACTTAATAGTAAATTATTATAAATTCATTCTGTGAAGAAAAATTGTAATTAATTCAGTATTAAATGAATAATAAACATGTAATATGAAGCTAGAAAAGATAGGTCTGGAATGCCCTGGTCATGTAACACGGAGACAGACTAATGGACAGAATTGGTGATTCTATGGAAAGTTCTCTGTAAGGCTCAACCAGAAACTTAGGATAATCATGCCATACTCTAATGTTGGAGTGACTATGAAACAATTTTAAACTTGGTGGAATGTTTTATGTTAAAATATATGGACCTGAAAAGGTTAACAATTTGGAACTGCAGTGTATGACACTAGTAAATGTACATGCAATAAACACATTAAATTAAATAGCTGCATTAGGATGTTAAAAAATGAAAAATATAAAGCTGTGCAACTTACATGATTCTCTAAAGGAAATTGGTAATTAAAGAATTAACCTAAGATTTAAGGTTCTCACAGTGATGAGTCTGAAGACTGCTGTCTTCTGGGTTGTAACAGAGTGTAGTCTGGTAGAAGTTTACCACCGTTTCAGAGAAAGGAACTCTGAAATTGAGGGATTAGCTCTATCTAGTGGGCCCAACTGAGTAGGAACCTGAAGACGGAGATAGAGCCCCATCTCCGAAACGTCGTTTTACGTTTTATTACTAGAAGATGGATAATATCAAAGTAAATTTTTATTCAATTGACTCTTCACCATCGTCAAGAAGTTTTAGATTTGATGAACTCTGAAATGTTTGTAAACTTCTACCAGACTACACTGTGCTACAACAAAGAAGATAGCCATATTCAAAGAACTAACCTAACCTAACTTAACCAACTGTTTAATTATATGCAAGATTCAACATATAACTTTTGATAAGACTACGATTCTAATCCTGCATATAAAAAAATTTAAAATAAGAACATCTACAAGATCAAAAAGTTAAGTACTTATAATCCTACAACTATAATTCAATGCATCTTTTTCCCAAACAGTGCATCAAGTAACCTCTAAGAATCATATTTTATGATCAACATAAACATCTTTGCTTCATCCGATAGTAACACATATTTTCAGGGTTAAAGTTTGTGAGCTCTGATTCTGATTATCAGAATTGTGCGGTTAGAGAAAAACAGGCATACTAGTTCCATCACTTTCTCTTTAACACACAATAATTTAAATTTTCATCTGTTGGGTACTTCAGTGAAAAGAAAGCATCCGTGTGTAAATATGGATCAAAAGCTGAGAATCACTTACAAATATAAAGGCAAATGTTGATCTGTATGTACTTCAATACTGTTTCTATCAATAATGATTCAGTAACATAACAGAAAATACATAAAAATCAACTATAAATATTTAAATTTGTGCTTATAAATATTAACATAACATCAACTATGAACTATAAAGTGTTCATACCTTTCCACTTCCAGGGGCTCTGTATGATCATAATAATAACTGCATATTAAATCTAAATAATATAACTAACACCAACAGTGACCACAGCAACTATTCTTTCATTTGCTTTGAATATTTAACATATCTAAAAATATAGCAAATTGATAAGCTTCCTTTTCTTGCACTAAACTGTAGACAATATTTTAGGAATAACATACTGACAATGACTACTATTTACAAAATACATATTTAGGAACACTATTAGTTTATAACATAAAAGTTACTACATTTATATGGACAAGAAATTATTCACAAGCTAAAGGCAGATCAACAGAGAGATGAAGGATGCATTTTATGATTCTGTTGGTCAAAATGATCACTAGCTGGATCATTAAAATTTAAATGTCATACAGGTAGATCAAAATATAGTACTATAGCCTGAGTTCATCTTCTGTATTAAAAAGCCTCTGTGGAAAGAAACAATGGAAGGTGTCTGGTGAAATGAAATGTGAAGGGAGCACATCATCATGAAAATATGCACAACAAAACTTTTTCTTCTCAGGATAACAAAACTGGTTACTTAAACCTACCAATCAAGATATACGCGTTAGTATTATTACCCTCAATAGCATCTGTATTATTTCAGACATCAGATTATCTCCTTGCTCTAACATCCACTTAACTCTGTCTGGACATTAACACTCAAAAACACTCTTACATAAATTGTCACTCCTGTTTTTAGTAGATGAAAGTGTTAATGTTTGCTTCCTGTCTCCTAGTGACACATGCTGGTGAGTTCACTAACTTACTGATGCTTGATATAGGGGTGTATAATGTAAAGGGACAGTATTCCTTTTATACATAGACTCCAGACATCAAAACAAAATAAAGTAAAATAATAATCTGTGAAATAATGGTGCAAAATCTGAGCTTATAGTCTGTCTGAATGGGGCCAAGAGGATTAATGTGTACTGTAGTAGCAGTGAAGATAAAATCAGTTAATTTAGGAAGATGGTTGGTATTAATGAGTAGTGTCTACTCAAGCCAAAACTGTGATTTTCATCTTCATACTTGTGTTTCTGAGAAAGTTAAAACACAGAGATCCCAGATTTTCTGCATAACAGTTCCATTCTGTAGCCAGGCATGAATGGTAGCATCTGTCTCAGATCAAACCAATTCCAACATCTTGCACTAATCTGTGATAGGGCAAGAAATGGCAGCATTAATCCTTGTCTTGTAGGTACCAAACCTAACATATCTTATCCCGCAAAAACAGTTGCATAACAATGCGCTTACATAAATTATTCAATACCGAGGACATTTCCGTGCTCTGCTATCTGATACAAATGATATTCCTATGCTATTTATTGCCGCACAACATATACAATAGTGCAGACTTTATGTCATACTGATGTCCCTTGTAGGAGACTTCACTTCCCTGGTAACTGCCCCATTGCTTGACTCAATACCACTGTCCTCTGTTTCTTCTCCACTGTCCAACAGGGATGCTTCACCCTTTACTGTTTCCACAGACCTCCGCTTCCCAACTGCTGGAGGGTCCAAAACAAATGCTGTGCTGGAAAGTGGCAAATCAAGCTTTAGGCGATCCCTTGTATGTCGCAGTTCTCCTAACCCTGAGGGAGACAGAGGTGATGATGGTGACTGCAACACTGTTTCACAGTCTTTATCTGTTATTACACAACCAGACACAGACTTTGCACCTGAAAGCATTTCATTTGTAACAGACACACTTAACACTATGCTGCTAGTGGGATCAGATGCTTTTGCTAACTCCAATAGGTCAGTAAAAGGTAATTCCTGTAGTTTTGTGGATTCCAAAGATGCCTTCTCTCCAACATCTGAAGATGCTGATGATCTGTTGCTGGATGTTCCATTTACTCCAGATTCAGAAGAGTCAATTTCATCTTCCCACACAATTCCTTTGATACTCTCTGACTTATGGTTAGTCAACTGATCATTAAAACTGACAGAAAACCTAGACATACTTGAAGGACTTGTGTCAACTTCATCATTATAAGAATCTACACCAGTTTCCAGAGCAGAGAGCTTGTCAGCCACAGTGATATTAACGATGTCAACGTCAGGTGTCACAAAATCCACTGTGATTTCAGATGGTTTGTATTCACTACCCACGTGATATAGCTGACCAGGAAAAAACTGACTTCCGCTACTGGTTAACACATCATTGCTCCCACCTGGGAACTGGAATGGACGGGCAGAACTGCTGATGTAAAATTCACCATCTTCTGATACCATTCCTGCAGAGGTAAACATCACAAGTATCGTAATAAAGAGGAGAAATAGCAGAGCTCTGTATACTAAGTTGTTGACACAGTACACCTGGGAAATGCAGCACCTTGTTTTTCCAAGGAAAATGAGAAGAAATAATGCAAAGGAGAAGGAAGTAAAGGAAGAAGTAGGAGCTGAGAAAGACGAGGATGATGAAAAAGGGAGAGAAGTAGGGCTCAACAAACTGAAATCTCACTTATATTGATGTGTTTGAACATTTGAATGTAAGAAAAAGATTTGAGTAAAATACAATTTACTGGTTGCCTTTATATATCATTACATGAATAACTTGCTCTTTCTTTTCATTTTGAATGTTCTGACATGTAGTAACTTGCTCTTTCTTTTCATTTTGAATTATTCTGACATGTAAAAGATAACACAAACTGCCAATAGTAGTGGCTTACCTCTCCACTGTGCAGGTCAGTTATAAACAGCTGTGTGTTAACAACTGTTCATAACTGTTTCTCTTTTTGTGTGACTAGTGGACTGAGCAAACATCTGTTGACACTTGATTAGAAGAGAGAGGAAGACAAGGAAATTAAGGAGGAAGAAGAAGCTGATGAGGCAAGGGAAGAAGAGTAGGAGGAGGAAAAGAAAGAGATTGATGAGGAGAAGAGAGACAAAAACAAAAGATCATGTACTGTTGCAACACACACCTAAAATTTATCTTCATAAGAAAGTAATTATAAATTATGTTAGAACTGACCATTAGTAAAGTCATAGTCAACACTGCTTAGCTTGTAGATGTCCAGCTGCTGCTGTGTAGTGTTCTCTGGGATGTCTTGATCTATATCCATGTCAGGAACACTTCCCTCTGGCAGAACATCCCCATCCAGCATCTCCCAGTCTGTACAACAGCCAATACATCTCATTTGCTTACACATGTCACAGAGAAACATTGCACAACAATTAACAATATGCCTAAAAAAAACTGTTTTGTAAGCGAATTCTGGGCTACAGTCACAGACCTGCAAAGCTGGAGTAGTCCACCTGTGGCTGTTGTGTTGACTGCAACATCAGACTGTTCCAATGTCGGCGTGTTGGGGAGTCAAATCCCTCGCTGTCTGAATCACTTGTCTCGCGAGGATACTCATACACAGAGTGGTACTTCTGCTTCTTGAATGACACATTCTTCTTGTGATCCTGCAAGAAAAGGAAAAGGACGCCAATTATACAGCATTCCAAATTGCCAATTCACCTATAACAATTAATAGGAATGCAAAACTCAAAATAAATGTTACAGCTGAGTGGTTAGCATTCCTGTTCCATATGCAAGAGGTCCTGGTTTCAAATCTCTGCCTACAGACCATATATCATGATTGAGATTCCCTGTTTTGTTTATTCCCTCCAGACAAATGCCAGAACACGCTCGTAGTACATTAAATGAGGCCATGATCACTTCCTTATACATCCTATCCAATTCACTATTCACTAGTAATCCTATCGTTTGATGCTACATAATCAGAACTATTAGACAGTTACTAAATAAACAACAAATAAATAAAAAATGCACAGTAAAACAATATAAATTCATGTTTAACATGAAGCATAAACTCAACCACACACATGAATACTGCAGGAATTTCAAACATTCAAGTTTGAAATTTTAAATGTGGTGGCTTTAAACTAAACTTTTTAATTATTTTTAATCAACTGTGTAGTCTACACATATGACTTGGTACTTACATTGATGTCATCTTCCTCCTGGAGGAAAGCGTGCACAAATCATAAACAATCAATATGAACAAGTCAGACAAGTTTATGTTTCTAAAACAGATCATACTTGTTGCAACATTAACCTGTTTGTTTTATTTAACAATGCTGCATAACTGTAATTTGTATTCATCTAATACTGTTAAGGAGGATTAATCCAAAAATAGGCAGAACTTATAGTATGAATTAGGGAGAAGAGCAATGCACACAAAAATTAACAGGGTGAATTCAACTGGCCCAAAATTTGTCTGTTAAGTTGATCTTGATATCTGAGGTTCTCACTGAAGTAGTACTACAGGTGATTAGTTACTGTTACTATCAAATACTCTAACTTTGCCACAATTTCAATGGATTTATGAAGTATGTTTATATTAACATTTTGACTTTATACATCCCATGTTATATATAAAACAGATTCAGGTAAGGTTTCCTGTTCCCAAGTTGCGAGCATAAAGCTCTGGTTATTTCATCTGCAGCAAAAGAACCCTGATGTCCACTAGAATGAGGCTGGGTATGCCCCAGTGCTAGTCTATTCAGATAGCAAAAAGAAAACACCTAGCTCTGCCAGGAATCAAACCATGGTCATCCAGCCCACAGCCAGTCACTTAATAAGCTGAGCTGTTACAAGGCAGTTTACTTTTATAATATTCACAGAAATTTACAATATAAGTATATTACAGTGAAATTTACAATTACAAGAATCTCCCAATTATGTACACTACAAAATAAAAGAATCTGGAGACTCACAGACTTCTTATCTGGGCTGCGCAGTGCTGAACGATTGGGTGTTGCTTCACTATTCCATGCTGAAGGAACAAATTCGGTGCCACTACCAGAGCTACTACTACCATCAGCATCATCATCATCATCATCTTCTTCTTCTTCATCTTCCTCCTCTTCAGCAATTACCTCCATCGGGAAGTCAGATAAACCCTCATATGGCTGCAATACACCCAATATAAATTGCTTTTATACAGTGCCTCCTTTCTAGAAAGAAACATGTCTGCGCTCAGCTGTGATAATGTAATAAAAAGTATGGGCAATGTTACTTGTTTAGAGTGTTTAAAAATACTGGCAAAGTATTAAGAATTAACCATGATTAAAAAGGACTTGAATTAAAGAGCCTAAATTACAAAAATAATGTGAGAAAGAACAGTCTTCTCTTTTTTCTAACCACTAACCGTATAGGCATTAATTTCATTCACAGACTATTTACAATGCTGTATCACTTATGCACATTTTTCAATTTGAAATGAGGTTATAGGGATGACCCTGAAGAGTAAGATGGACTAACTGATGCAACTGTCATTTGCCATAAGATAATATGGAAAATCTATTCAACTGTTCCAGCTGAGATGTGAAGTAGGTAACTCTTTAACAGAAGTCAGATATGTTACTGAAGATCTGAACGTGCAAAGTGTTTTCCTGTTATGAATAATTCTGAAGACAAATAACCTTAAAAATATCTTTTCCTGTGGTAAAATCTCAAAAAAGTTCTTCTGTAAATCTCCCTGTACATGACTTACATATAATAAAAAGCAAACAGATTTACAGGTTACACACTAAACAACAACGTAACTCAAAAAGGTCTGAAGATGACTAAAATTTGCCACTTCACACCAAGATGACTCACACTTCTCACCTTCTACAAATTGGGAGGCTGCACAAACTTCATGAGCATGATATCATGCACCAGTTAAATCCAGTCACTTAAAATATCTTGCTAAGGAAATAATATAGTAATTAAAGAACTGAAAGTGTGAACATTCAAACAAAAACAGAACATGTATACAAGAAAAAACATAGAAAACAAAATGCAGAATTCAACAATAAGTACACCTCAT